GATGGACAATTTTTTCCCGTGATATCAGGAATAGAAGTTACGTTCTGCACAAAAAACATGAAAGGCCAGTAGTTATTTGAGAAATTTAAATCTTTCGGCCTTATTTTTTTCTAAGGATTAACAAAACGATGCAATAATACTATTCACACATAGACTACAAAACTAATATTTACACAGATTCCATTTTTTTACAAAATATGCATTTGTTTACATATCATTTTAATATATACACTCTGAAAATTTATTTATGTATTCGTATATTTTAATCATAGAGCTGAAATTTCGATGAAAATATGAAACCGACTTGTATAAATTTTTGTTAGTATTTTTGTTCATATCTCAATTGATTTCATCGAAATATTTTATTGCTGAACTATATAATTTGACGTCATGTCTTTCATGAAGTGCAAAAATCCTAAGAAATTATTTCATCTTGAAAAAATATAAAGGATTTGAACTAAGAAAATATAACGAATAGTTGTGTGGCAATTTCAGAAAGGTTCAGGTCTTCATCATCTTATGAACATAATGGCTCAATTTTTGGCTCAATAATGGCGCAAATTTCGTGTCAGACTCATTGAAAGTTTAGTATAAAACGTAGTGAATTAATTGAATATAAACGTATAAATATAACTATGTACAATAAACAAGTGGTTCCGCAATTAAAGATAGCCTCGAACAAGCGACCTCGATCGGATGCAAGCTTGTTCAATAAAGAAACTCACGAGGAATTTTTAATTTCACGCGCATAGCTCACCATGAGTCGATAATAAAATTCTTTGTTATATACATGAATTATATGCACTTATGAAAACTATTCAGTTGATGTCATATGTGTGGGACTAATGCTTGGAGATAAATTAATAGTTCGCTTTGATTATTTAACTTATTCTCATAATATCTAATATATAATATAAAACAGATTTTATTATTATCTATAATATAATATTAAACTTATTATAATATCTTCGCTCGTTCTGTAACCGAAACCAAGTTTTTGGCCTATTCATTTCATCGCTAATTGATAAGTTTCGCTCTGTTTTGAGTTTAAATTTGGAGCATAATTTTTATTGCTTGAATAATTAGAGAATTAACTCTTAGTATTGAGAGTATTAACCGTGATCGTCATAAAAACGATTCATCTATAACATCTAATTACAAATAAACACTTGAAGTTGTTCCACCTATTGCCGCTTAAATACCTCTGAAAACTCGGAATTTATTTATAAATTTTTATCAGACTTGGAGACTTTGAAGACACTAAGTTTGATTAAACAACGCTAGAGAAAAAATTTATTGGAATAACCTTTCTTTTGTGACAAAAATTATCACCAAAAGAGAGGAACTTTCGTTGAGCCTCCCATAAACTAAAAGCTTAAAAACTTGTTAAATTGGTAGTAATTTGTTTACTATATGAATGAAATTTAATATTTCAAGTTCACGAATATATTCCATACGCTTGAATTCATTAAAGGAAAATCAGTATAGTTTAGCAATTCGCCTGCTAATGAAATTCATGCTCACACACTAACATTGTTTTCTCTAACTTTGCCTTCATGAAATCCATGTAGCCGAATTTCGTGAAGCTTCGGCTTGATGAAAGCACCGCAATTATAAGGAGGTACTCCCGTTCGTGTATACTTTAGAGAGTAATTATATTCAGCTTAGAAAATGGGGGGTCGTCGAATTAAATATAGTCTAATATTATTTGAGCCTACATCCTCCTTTAAGATTTAGAAATTCTTTCCATTGGTAACATGTATGGTTCTAAAACTTTAAATAGCATTGAACACACAAATATAATTTGAAGTGATTCAATGTTCATGTTTCGGCCAGCAGTGCCTTTGCCAAAAACTTGTCACAATCTCATGGACTCTCTTATAATCAAAAGTTATTTGTTGTAATTCGCCATATCTCTGCTTTTCACGATATCGATTAGCAACTTAACGATCTATTTCCCACACTCGTTCATAATTAGCCAACACAATGTAGATCAGAAGACGGCATAGAATAAGGATTGGCAAGATGAGGATGCACAATAATCGCAGTCATGAGAAAAAATTTTCCGACACTCAAATATGTTCGTGAAATTTATTTGCTACAGAAATTTAATTGATTTGTCCACTCAAATTAGTCGAGCTGCTCTAGATAATTAAGTCTCAGCTCCAGTGTAGAACTCTCAAGTGTGTGAGTGTGTGACTTATTTTATAGCCTGTAGGTGGGCAATGCCGTATTTCAAACGTGTATAGCGCCCGTGCCGTATTTAAACGTGCATAGCTCTCATGCCGTATTTCAAACGTGTATAGCTCTCATGCCGTATTTCAAACGTGTATAGCTCTAGACTGAACATATGCTCCTGCATAGCTTCGTCTAGTCTGTTCTTGAAGGCGTTCATACTCGGAGCGTCAACGATGCTATCAGAGAGGCTGTTCCACATGGCGGTGACTCAAAGCGAGAAGAAATGTTGTCGCATGGATGTGTTAATCGATTAGCAACAGAATGATCCAAATCCTGATCTGATCCGGCAATGCCGTACTTCAAACTGTATAGCTCTCATGCCGTATTTCAAACGTGCATAGCTCTCATGCTGTATTTCAAACGTGCATAGCTCTCATGCTGTATTTGAAACGTGTATAGCTCTCATGCCGTATTTCAAACGTGCATAGCTCTCATGCAAAACGTGTATAGCTCTCATGCCGTATTTCAAATGTGTGTAGCTCTCATGCCGTATTTCAAACGTGTTTAGCTCTCATGCCGTATTTCAAACGTGTTTAGCTCTCAAGTGGCTTGACTCTTCGTCTATTGAAGGTAATTCTCGTTGAAAGCATTAAGATGCGAAAATTTTTCGTTGACAAAGGGTTTCCGTCTTTCAAAAAAGCGACTAGCTCGCCGTTTTTTATGATAGTTGCAAAAAGCACAGTAGTTGTATTTTTACAGGTTTCTTACATTCTTCGTCTGTAGAATTATTTACTCAAATCTTTCATCTTGGGTCTAGGAACCTATAATTTGATTTTCATGGTTGATAATAATTGTGGATATGCCCTAGCTTATACCAATTATGCGGTTACGTATTATATTAAATGTAGACATATTAGTCACATATTTCAGGACATAGTTACATGTATACTTAAACCTTGTTCAGGTTTTCTTCATTAACATACTTCTATCAACGGGGATAAAATACAGATCAAAAGTGTATGAGTAAGTACTTCAGACCATTGACAATTTAGTATTTTGTTTTAAACGTGCTTTTCGTAAATTAAAATGATTTCCGAGCATGAGTCATTTTTAAGAGAGGCTTGAAAATTCTCACCAACTTAATGTATGCGGCGAAAAGATGGAAAGATAATCTTTATGTTAAAAATTCATGAACGTTTTGTTTAACCGTGACTTGATAAGAATGGTCAATTCTTGCTGATTAACGTCCGGCGACCCTTGGGAAATATGTTGTACATGGCACACAAGAGGGAGTGGAGTTATTGCGTCTGGCATTTTATGCCGAGCGTGAGCAACAAGTTTCATAAGATGACTGCTGGAGGAGCACTTACCTGATTAGCTTATTTGCATTAATGTAATTGTGAGGAGAGCTTGACTCTTATATGAGTTACAGCACGGTACTTAGCCTAAATATACACCGACGATGAACCTCTTAAAGTACAGACGAGATGTTCAATTAGTCGTTATATAGCCATGGTCAATTTAATTATGTCCAGCATATATACTACGTTAGATGCATGCAAGCTTTGTTCTTGCCAAGTGCAGTCTTGTTAGAAGAACAAATGATGAGGCTGTAGTGTCGGTAAATTGTTTTCTTAGTGATATTGCACATTTGAATTGACATGGGAGTATTTGATACAAAAATTTATTCTAATGGAGATATTAAATATCAAAAATACAACCTACAGTCAATATCTTAATCTCAAAGATTTAAGTAAATCTTTACGTGAAATTTTTTCGGTTATTTTAAGGTTTAGTCATTTTTAGGTAAACCTATGGGTACAAAGAAAAATTTGCATCGTCTAGCAGTATTTTTACAGATTAATATGAACATTTGTATGCACCAAATATCAAATTAACATTAAAAATTCGAAATCATGTCATAGATGATGAGATAAAAATAAATCCGCATAATTTTTACAGAATCAGATCACTTTCGTTAATTGCTTTTCCCCTCAATGTAGTGGAGTATAAATATCTTAGAGTGCATGTAGTGAGCAAAGCGTCACAGCTTAGCAAATCTTCACTACAAACATCAGCGAAGAATTCAGAAGTGTATTTTTTCCAGCCTCGTGACTCGCGATCCCAGCCTTGAGGAAAATCTGTCGCGGAGAAACTTATGCGACTCACATATCGAGACTGCATGGGAATTAAATGTAGCGGTAGCAATTACACTGCAACGACATGACTGACGTATTACCCGTAGAAAATTTATGGGTCATATTGTACAAAGAGCGACATTATAATACTACTACTACTGTGGAAACGAGGTAAAATGCTCAGCAATAATGAATATAAACCTCGATTATACTTTCTGGATCTTGCTTCAAATTTGACCGATTTTAAATTTAAGTGAGCTCTATTATAAAACGATCCCAACTTTAGTGTTCAGTGATTGTATTGCTCTTTCCCTACCTCAACACTACCGAAACACCTATACGCAGATACAGTCTGAATTACGTTATATCACATCCAAGAGTAAATGACGTCCAACTTTAACTGGAAAAAACTATTGAAAAGTATAAGTTAGATTTTAGTTAAGAATTTCAATCTACCCGTTCAATATCAATCCACCTGCATCTGTTCTCGAAACTTCTCCAAGAGTTATGCCAGCTCTAACACTAATGATGTTGATGATGAAGCGTGAATACTTTAATATAAAACGCACTATTCATTTTCATGCAGCGCTGTAACTTCCACGTCATGTTTGTATATGGACGCCGTCATCGGCTTTACGTTCGCACATGCAGAAGACAGACGCGCAGGTGAAATAAGTTCGAAAATTACTTGTCGATAGTCTTTATTTACTGCGAAAATATAAATTTCACTGAAAATTACGGAACATTGTTTAATGACTCAATAAATATCAATGTGATTACAAAGAGAACAGCACTGAACGACAATCATGTGCACTGACGTCGCCGTATTTCTCCTGACATCGCCGTATTTTACCTGACGTCGCCGTATTTTTCCTGACATCGCCGTATTTTACCTGACGTCGCCGTATTTTTCCTGACGTCGCCTTATTTTACCTGACATCGCCGTATTTCTCCTGACGTCGCCGTATTTTTCCTGACGTCGCCGTATTTTTCCTGACGTCGCCGTATTTTTCCTGACGTCGCCGTATTTTTCCTGACGTCGCCGTATTTTTCCTGACGTTACCGTATTTTTCCTGACGTCGCCTAAAACTTTTCTTGGCCTCACAGTTCAGATTTGCCCAAAATTTACGTTTTATTGCGCGTGCACTTATTCAAACGGGACTGCCTGGATAGCTCACTAGAGCAAATCTTACTGACCTACAAATGTGCAAGTGAGTCAAAAAGTATACCGTATTCATCTCTTGACGAGCTATCGACCCACTCAAATGGTTCATCTTGACACATTCACATCTTCAATCATCTTCATTATTCATCTTCAATCATCATTCATCTTCATTCACATCTTCAATGCAGTGCGATAAGATCCGCGTCACCGGAACGATTAATCATCTCCGAATTAACAACGTTGCTAATTAGAACGGTGGATACACCTAATCATTTTCAAGAAGAAATACTAGATGATTATTTCAATTAATTTTGAATAGTTATTTGGAATCTGAGCACACAATGAAAATACCTCATAGGACGGAATTATCATTCAGTATTAATTTGAACCTGCATTACATCGTAATAGATTAAACTGTGTCGTCTGTTCTCTAGTGCACGAATCCAAGAAACCGAACAATGTATAAAACAGATCATCGAACCTGCAAATTACAGCACGAAGCCCATTATCTTCAATTAATAAAACTGTATGAATATTAAATTTAAATTATATAAAGGTAATCTCAATCACAATGATAACCATTATCTTAAGGCAGTACCTCACAATCGTACAATGAATTGTAAATTGAAACCTATTGAAAATTACTTTTTAACTTTAATCGCTGACTAGTCATTGCAAAAAAATGTGCTTGCCAATTGCCAAATTTTCTAAACAATATCATCTTTATTTAATATTAAGCATTGATCACAAAATAAGGTAGTATCAGCTCCATAATTACCGTTGTTCTCGACACTATGCAAGGCATTTACAAATGAACGGCATAGTCATCACTCCGGAGAGCCTCGTGTTTCATCTAGAGGTTCTTTCTTCATAAAGAGCTTGGTTATTTCTTCCAGAGTTATCCCTTTAGTTTCCTTCACTACAGTGGCAGAGAACACAGTGCCAAGTACGCAGATGCCGCAGTACAGCCAGTGGAAGCCGTAGCCCCGCAGCTCGCTCTGCCATGACAAGTTTCAAAATTAGTTATATTTATAGTCTTTTAGTTATAAGATAAAGTTGAATCGCCTAATACGTTAGATTTAAAATGCAATTTCATGCGATCTAATTTCTTTGACTGGGGATGACAATTCATATTCATCGCAATTTTACGTTGTAACTGAATGCCAAAATACAAAATGGACGTGCATTTTGGGGTCTCAAAAATTAGCCAATGCCTCTTAAAATAAAATGTAGCGTAGTTAAAAATTTAGGTGCGCCATCCTATGACTAGCAATAACTAGGTATATATATAGACACAAAAATATATACATATATTAATATATTTAGATAGATATTTAGATTTGTACTATTTCATTCCACTGGTACTTCCTTTGAAATAATGTGATCGAGTTCAACCAAGCTCCAAACCTGTCCACACCTCGTTACTCACAGTCCACATCCTCATCATTCGCCGTCCACACCCTCAACTACTGCCATGTTTGCTATCCAGTCCACAATTCATCCCACCTCGTCACTCACAGTCCACAACCTCGTCATTCACCGTCCACATACTCAACTACTGCCATGATTGCTACCCAGTCCACAATGCGTCCTAGCTCTGCCTCACCTGCAGGAACTCGTAGGAGTGGACGGTGATGAAGGACGCCGCCCACATGCCTGCCACAGTCAGTCCTGCCGCAGTCTCCCGCACAAGGGGCGGCAGCATCTCCCCTAATTTATTAACAACAATTTGACATTCAGTAAATCTTATATCGGAAAAACAAAAGTATAATTAATTAACACAATTAATATATCATATATGGGAAAAACAGAATTATCATTTTCACTGCTTCGTAATCAAGTTCCTAGCATAGACATGGCATCCACTTGTAGTCGAGGGTTTGGGCGAATATTAGATGAACGAATATCTTTCTCGTAACCACTTCTCGTGACAGATTAATAATGGAAAGATCTCATGAAATTTGATTGTAAATTGCAAAAAGACATACTATAACAAAGCAAACTAATGAAATGAATTTTTTCCATTGCAATCGCTTATTAAAACTCCATAATTAATGTAAAATAATACACCCATCTCATGCTTGATAAATCAATGTTTCACAAAACCCTTTTAAAAATTAAACTGGCAGCATCTCACCAAATTGCAAAAAGACATACTATAACAAAGCAAACTAAATGAAATGAATTTTTCCATTGCAATCGCTTATTGAAGCTCCATAATTAATGTAAAATAATACACCCATCTCATGCTTGATAAATCAATGTTTCACAAAACCCTTTTAAAAATTAAACTGGCAGCATCTCACCATAAATCAACACCAACTTGCAGGCATCAGCAACGATACTGTTTCCTTTCGGTTATGACCTCTGATTTCAGTGTCACTATCTTTTAACCCTTTATTATTTCTGTCAGAGTAAACCACTTTCTAAATTTTGTTTCTGCATTAGCTTCAGAATAAAAATTGCAAGCCGAACTCTTGACAAATATAGATAACGGCCTCAATTCATTAACTGACCTTGGATTTCAATTTAATTATTCCAATTCCACCGTACAATTTCAGCAAGGGCGTATGACACTAATCGTCAAGAACCAACACACTTCATCTGCGTAACAGACCAGCAATCAATAACCCTATTATGGCAATAACGCACATTGTAGCAACTAACATCAGAACGTACAGGTCACTCACCCATCAGAATCCAGATTACAGCTCCTAATCCAATCCCAAAGGCGATAACGTAAGTCATGAGCGCCGTCAATGGAAGCCAAAACAAAAATTTTCTCGTCCATTGTTCATCAACGGTGAGCATGTAGAAAAAGAGGCCCAGGCTGCCTGCAAAATAAGTATCATTAGAATCAAAATAGGCTTACTAATTAAATACACTCAATTACCCTTCATTATCTACATTCAGCTGAACAACAGCCCAACACTTTCCAATTTGTAAGAAGGAATCTACAAAAGGCATAAGAATACAGACAATAGCAGCGAAAAAATGCACAGAGACAAAAATACACTGAGGCATTCTTCAACCAATCCAGTTTTAATTTTCAAATTCAATCGAAATAGTATTACAAAAACTATAATATGTCTCTACCTTTAGACTATATAATGTTCACCTTTAGACTATAAAATGAACACCTATAGACTATAAAATGATCACCTTAAGACTATAAAATATTCACCTTAAGACTATAAAATGTTCACCTTTAGACTATAAAATATTCACCTTAAGACCATAAAATGTTCACCTTTAGACTATAAAATGAACACCTATAGACTATAAAATGATCACCTTAAGACTATAAAATATTCACCTTAAGACTATAAAATGATCACCTTTAGACTATAAAATGTTCACCTTAAGACTATAAAATGTTCATTTTTAGACTATAAAATATTCACCTTAAGACTATAAAATGTTCATTTTTAGACTATAAAATGTTCACGTTTGTTTTCCTGTCTGTGTTTAATGTACTTATTGTCTTCATTAATATTCCATGTATCAAAGAAGCTTTACAATGACTGGCGGCCAGGACCGCCGACGATGAAACCAACAGGCACTTCCTGCCTGCCTTCTCGACGAGGAACACGGCTGCTATCCCTGCCAGGATCTCCACGACGATGCACAGGATGCTGCTCAGGTCTTCTGACATTTCGCTGCCAGAGTTCTGCAGAGTTACATCGAGCACTACTTATAGGCATATAGATACACATGCATTTATCCTCTGCAGCACGTTATATAGGGCAAATCTCGATACAATAAATGTTTTAGTTCATGCATACTGCCAACACAGTCATATTAGTCACAACTCGTCGGCACAGTTCATTACAACACTTCCCTTTAACTTCACTTCTTGTTGTTTGTCTGTGTGTCTGCTATAAATCTTTTAATCGATATTTAACACACTTCTACCTCTCCAATCAATCTGAAATTTTGCACACTTGCGTAAAGTTGGAGACAATGCATGAATCAGTCGGCAGAATAAATAATTTTGAAAATTTATAAAAATTTTAATCATTAAAAAAATTAAAAAATTCAAACTTAAATTTCTTTTTTTAATACTTGAAAATAAAATTAGAAATTCATTGTACATGTGTAATATCAAAGACACTGGACTCTTACGAAGTGCGATATTTAAAAATCAATTTTTAATCGCATATTATTTTTCAGCTTGGAACATTAACATTCAATTATTCTTATGTTTAACCGACGTACTTCATAAAAGAAGCCAGTCATTCCCACAAGCCTGAATACTAATGAACATTAGAAAACGTGTTTAGAACTTGCTATCGAATTCATGCTTAAAAACCAAACCGTACACGATTCAAGAGACGATGTTACTCTAAGTAAGACATAAATTAAGACACTGAATAAGACATTCTATTATCATTATACATTATAACGAATTAGTTTACAGAAAAAAATATTCAGGTACGAAGCAAGATTCATCAATACGACACGTAAAAAAATTGCTCGAAATGCGTTCGTTTTCGCCCGATGCGATTTGACCGAGATCCGTCCCCGGTAATCCCTAGGCCAGCCTGCGCCGTTCAACAGCTCATACGAAACAGCTAATTTAAAATTTCAATTTCTTTGAATGTTTTCAAATTATCCAAATATTAAAAGGAACTGAATCATTTGAATATAAAATGGAATAAAAACAATGATGAAGTAAATAAGCATAAAAGCTAAGTTTTCATTCCATTTAACACTGGATCAGAAACATAAAATACATAAACAATACAAGCACCTTCAATTACAACAATAACCTTGAATATAGAGCTGAGATTTGATGTAAGTACTTCAATGCCTACATTAACAATACAAGCACCTTCAATTACAACAATAACCTTGAATATAGAGCTGAGATTTGAATAATTATAGGTAGTTATCGTCAGCAGATACACGAGGCACTCGCTTCACAAGCCATGGAATTTATTGGAATCGTACCACCTACTAATCAAATTCACAAAATTTTCGATCAAGTACAATACCGAAATTCATTAATTTAAAGAGATAAATTCCGAATCCATCAAATTGCATTTAGTTATTTGTGTTCTTTCATGAACTCTTAGAAATAAGAGAGTGATTTTTGCAGGTGATCTTTCATTAACTCTTTCTATAGATGAGATAAAGGAGTTATTCCTGCAGAAGTAATACCCCTTCATTAACTCTTTCTGTAGATGAGATAAAGGAGTTACTCCTGCAGAAGTAATTCCTCTTCATTAACTCTTTCTATAGATGAGATAAAGGCCAATAAAAAGAGTTAAAAAGGCCTGCAGAAGTAATACCCCTTCATTAACTCTTTCTATAGATGAGATAAAGGAGTTACTCCTGCAGAAGTAATTCCTCTTCATTAACTCTTTCTATAGATGAGATAAAGGCCAATAAAAAGAGTTAAAAATGCCTGCAGAAGTAATACCCCTGAAGTGCTGCAGAGCCGCTCGTGCTTCAGCCTCCCTGCCCTTCATGAGGAGATAAGCAGGCGACTCCCTACAGAAGAAGATGAGGACGGCGTAGACGAGGGTCGGGCTCGTGCAGATCAGAGCCAAATTCTGCCACGTCGTGAACGCCCCCACCAACATCACCAGCAGTATGCCCAAGGCCAGCGAGAGTTCGTAGAAACTGCCTGAGAAGGTCATAAAGTTTCTGACAAGGTCATAACAGTTAGTTTTCGAAATCAGTTTTGTAATTAATCAAAACTATTCGTACAAACGACGGCAATAGCATTCATTTCCACACTAGAAACGAAGAAATAGCATATTGTAATCCATCGTAAATCAAAGTTTTACGTTTATATAATTGTTCGTTGAATATAGAATTTTTACATTTAAATAAAATTAGACAATGAGGTGTTAAATTTTTAACATATTGTGAATATTTTGCATGAAAAAAATAGTATTTTTACTTCAAAAGCAAGTTACATAAGCCTTTGTAGGAATTACGCTTCGTGTGTTTTCAATTAGAGCGCAAAATATATACCTACATGATTGCTTCACCTATTTAAACATACCCGCACTATTTTGTGAAAACTGATTGTCTAAACACGATTAAAGCCGTAAACAGGTTCAAACGCTACTTGTATATTTGATGTCTTTTCAAAACATGTACGTTAATTTCATACCTAGAAGATTCGACCAAGAAGAGACAATCGTCTAAAAACCCCGATTGAGAAGCAATCCAAATCTCAAACTGGAACTGGGAACTGTTTGTAAGTTAAAATCTCGTTGAGTTTAGATGTTGGTCATAGATACATCCTCACAAATAATCACACCGACGAAAATAATTTTCGGGTATACCAAAAAAGCATCAACACTTAGCACCTGTTATCTCAAATGGTTAGCTCCGTATAAACTTATGCACATGATTAACTTATCGCACTACACCTATCGCTATGAGCCTATCGAGAAACCAGCTAAAATAAACCTATTCCTAAGATGAGCCACATCTCTCCAAGTACACAAATGCTAGAAGAAATGTTACGAAGATGAACGAGCATCGTCTACCTAATATCCCCCTGATGTTGCTGGAGGCGATCTCCCCGACGTAGGCGTTTCCTGCAGCAGAACTCAGGCCGATGTACACGCCAGAGAGCGCCCTGCCCAGCACCAGCGTGGGCAAGTTGGTGCCCAAACCTGGCAACAACGACACTGTCACAATGGCGACAATGTGGAAACACAATAAATATTATCACTTATTGCAAAGAGGTTATCCAAATCTATCAGGTGATCCAATTTAATTATGTCATGTCAGTGAATTAGTGAATTAGGTACAATTTGAAAACAAAATTCATCTGAGTAAAGTTATATATTTCACACATTCATAATCTCTAATCTATATAATATTCAAAGCTCAAAGCCTCGTCAGGTTATGGGCCAGACAGTCTAGAAGAACTGCTGTGACATCTAACTTCATTACGTCGTCAACCAAAGTTGACCCAATATAAGATCCATTTTTGATACTACCTGTCATAAGCCAGCCCAGCAGGGAAGGGACGGCGGAGACCAATAAAGCTCCCCGTCTACCCATCGCGTTTATGAGGAGACCGCTCAACAGCCCCCCGACGAGGGCCCCCAAAGCGAAAACCGACATGAACCACGACAGCTCCTCGCTGGTCATCACCATGGGTGAAGCTCCAGCCTCGAGAAGCGGTTCGCCCTTGAAGGTTTTGCGGCCATCGAACATGTCAGTGTCAGTCATGATTTTGGAGCCAAGAAGGTTCGTCGTGTTGCCTCTATAACTAAAATTTCCAGATGTAAAGTTGTAATGTACTCCGTCATTTTCGTAGCTTAGGTGGCCATTAGAGTCGTTATAATGAGTGACGCGGTCATGAACGAAGACCTTGGTTGGGTTGGCAGTGATGACATCGTGTGCAGCGCGGAGCTGGAAAGACGCCGGGGAATTGAAGCCAAGCACTGCACCTACAGCAATCGAGCTCACCGACACTGCAACAGGAATGACCATTTATTTCATGTAATCTACAGGCGGTCAAATTACACCAATAAACCTAACTAAGTGACAATGCCGAGATGAGTGTGCGACTGTGCGTTTCTGTTGCTAGGAAACGCTTCGAAATAAAAATTTTGTTGTTCAATTTTACATTCATGTGTGATGGTTTATTCCAAATCAGTGTAGTACCGGCCTGTTATGTCTACACACTACATGGATAAAGAGGCTGCACGATTTAATATGAGATTGAACTTGACATTCAAGTGGCAGTAGGACGTGCCGCTAGGCCCGCTTGCCCTTGTCGAGTTTTTAATAGCCTCAACAGTGCAATTTATATCGTCAATAAATAGTTATTTTTTTAGATAAATACCAGCTTTATGAAAAGTGTTTTGTGTTCAGTTAAGCGAATTCTATTATATACTCCGGTCTATTACTATTACCATTCAAACAGAACATAAACATATTTCGTACTACCTAATATTTACAATGAAAATAAAGTGAAAACTCAACTTTTTCTATTTGCACTCGTAAATCGTAATTATCTGATACAGGCTCAAGCTTATGAAGAGAAATGATCACTGAGCCTTTTACAAGTCTATATATAAACCAAACACGAATCCCTTCTTGCAAGAGACTATTTTTAATTGAGATACTTCAATTATTTGGGACCGATGTGTTATGCTGAAAAAATGATACGTAATGTTGATGCTTACTTTCAGTAAAAAAGTTAAGTAGTTTTTCATGGGCTAGTTAGCTTTTCATTAATGTATTACCTGACAGCGCAGCGAAGTACTGCGTGAGGTAGGCAGGTTTGGACGCTGGACTGCTGCCCTCGGCCATGAGTGCGAAGCAGATTTTCGCGAGGCCGAATTTGTTTTCGTTCTATTTTACGTATTTTCTCCAGCCTCTATTCCTTATCCAGCCTCAAATTCCTGTTCTTAAAATATTGTTTACGTACGTTATAGAAAAGTAAGTATGAGCTAGAAATTATATTAGAAATAAATAATCAGCTAAAATGCTCCACAGCATAATAAGTAAGATTCACACATAATTGTAGAGATAAAATGTCGTCCCGCATAATAAGTAAGATGAGCTACAAATTGCAAAGCTGGAATGCCCTCTCGCATAATAAATAACGTCGCGCTACAGAAATATAAAGCAAAAATGTGAGTTTGAACGAAAAAAGTCGGGCCTCTAAACGAGGCGTCCGCAAGTCTGTCTCCTCGGCACGCCTGTCACGCGTCAGCCACCGCCTCAGAATTTGAATGAAGGCTTCTTTCACGCGTCACTAACAGACTTGCTTGTGAGCATTCAAGCTCAACAGACATTGATTATTGACTTGGTAACCTAATGTTACTATGTCCAGAGTGAAAATAGTCGGTGTTACATTTTACACCGCGTTTTAACTGCCAGACAATCTGCTAGACAATATTCCGCTTATCATGGTGGACTACTCAAGCCCCCTTCCGAGTCATAAACGATTTAGTTTGCACAAATACAATACCACACATCAAACAATGTACTTTTTATCATAGCCATTGTACATATGCAGTCTTATATAGATGAGATCTGAGCTGAAAATTCTCTAATTATCTAGGTACATACAAATGACAGTTTGACATTGCTAACAAACAGCTGCTAAAAATTATTAATACCGTAGTACAGAAACGTGCTGCAAGTGTAATATCAACAACGTCAGCTAATTTGAAGTTGAAAATTCTCTGTCAGAATCGAGTTGATGCGAAATTTTAGCGACTTTATACAGATGAATTCATGGATTAATATTGTAATCTACAGAGCGCTATATGGCTGGCATTGGCACATGCCTCGTGGTAAAAAAAAACGCCCTATGTCACATGGCACCAATACTAGGGAAGCAACAGCGCACACAACCTTCTCTATGACAGCCTTCCCGGCAACTGAACTGAGTGCAGAGTGCAGACTGCAGAGTGCAGACTGCAGAGTGTGTTGAACTGTGTTCAGAACTTCAGTGTGAGACTGTGAGTGAGTGACTGTCAGTGACAGAGTGAGTGTGAGTGAATGTGAAATGCCTTAGTGAATGTGCCAAGCGCCATGCATGGGCTACAACTACATAGACCAGCTGGCAGCTGCGTGCCATAATTGAACTAATACGTTTCTGACAACGATGACTATTTTTTCACCGTTCTGACCATGTCTCGAATGACGTCACTTTGGCCCCATATGTAAACAGAGGGGATCATCACGTTTCTAGTGCCATCTTTGAAGGCATTTAAAAAAATGTAAACTCATTTTGGCCCTCCTCATTCGCCTGTGCGCACACACGCTGAGCTGTGTAATGATACTGCATCTGACAGTGACTTCAAGATGTTCGCTTGAACCTGATCTGCTCATTTTAGAATCTTAGTACATTATCAAACTTAGGCCCAGTTTGAATTCACCGTTTAGCTCGTATCCCCTTGAGACTGTGAATAGATATGTTTGCGGTTTTTTCTTGTGCGTTTTCTTTTAGTTGCAAATTTAGATTTTAATTTCAGTTCAGTGACTTTCAATAATCATTGTACTACTTGTGATTTTATTTGCATTCTAGAATCTTCGAATTGACGATGGAGCTGGACTCCGAAGCGTTTTCTTTAAAGATATGATGAACTTTTGTGGAATATTCTTTTCTTTTAATTTCTAGCCCGTAACTCAGTTGCATAAATTACATTTTGCATGCATTGTAAATCTAATTACATGTGTGTTTGAATTTGATAAACAATTGAATGCAATGAGAAATTCTTCACCAAGAATATAAGAATATTTTCACCGAAAGTTTCTGTTTCTGAACTAAATCACAAGGGACGGTAGTATTGTGCCACAATATTCCGCGTTTTTTTTTCGACAATCCTGCATCTTAATTTATTTTACATATATCATATTATATACATCGGTCATATTTTATGAGTGTGCGTAAGTGTTTGTGTTTAAAATGATGGGACCATCTCCCAGAACTACGAGGTTCAAGATGATTGGATTCAGTAATGCAGGAAAGTAAAACTGCAGTGATTATCGATTAAGGGCTCGATAATCCCAGCAAACAGTAAGCTGGTTAGTCGCATGAAATAATTCTTAAATAATAAACGTGGACTATTATTTAGCAAAGTCAAAACTGGGCGTATAAGCACATCTATTGAAAAAAAACTGTAAGAAGGTGGTCTGACAGAGAAATAAAACAATGTCTCTGTTTTTCATAATTTAGCATGTGAAACAAACCATCATGCCAATGTAGTTAGTACCTAGTTACGAACCTACAAAAAAAAATCAAATCCGTCACCAGGTCTTAGCGGTATATCATTCAGTTTGGGCTACAATCATTTTCTAAGTCGATGAATATTCCTGTCGCAGAAAATATAATTTTGAGAAATAAACTAAACCACTTTTAAAATTGAATTTCAAATCCGTGCATCATGTTGAATGAAGTTTTGACACGAGTTTATTGTTTAATATTGTTATACTCATGAGTATTAAGATGATTGCTGAACCAATTAATAGGTGTATGACAATGTTCGTTAATATGATATTTATAATCAGAAATTTGTTAGCATCAAAATAAGTCAAATAACTATCAAACATTCACTCAAATTTAATATTAATCATCAATTTTAGTGATATTTATCACTCGCGCACCTGGAGCTAATTGAATGATTAAAGATTATGTGAAGGAAAATTTACATCTGTTTATGAAGGAAATATGAAATAACTACCATCAAACTTAAGTTGCTCTTCTATATATAATAATGTTCGTAAAAAATTAGTAAATTGGTTAGTTTCTATTTGAAGATGCATTGACGTCAGAGCAGCGATGCGATCCGAAAAATTAATTGAGTTATGCTCAAATCATTGCATTAAGATTTACAATTAAAACTGTCGTTTTACACTTGGAAAATCATTTTGAGTCTGATTTCATTTTTATTTTGAAAATTGTCACAATAAAACCTGATATTTTGTGTTCAATTTCACACAGAACATAGTAGATCTGTATTATGTCAAATTGGCATTAGCAAATGTGATATTTTTTACTTATTTCATAAGAACCTCTCATGGTTAATTTTCATATCATAGTGATAAATTTTGCAGCCCATGCGGGCATTATGTATTCCAGTCATTCGAGAGCTCAAGAATAGGCTAAATTGCACGCAACTGAAGTGAAGTAAAGCGCGACCTTTTTTGTAACTATGAATGTGATAAACTCTACACAGAACCGCTAGACGTCAAGGGCGTCACTATAGGTTATATGAATAGAGCCCGTATTTAGAGGGAGCTAACCCCTCTGTGGATGTACAAGATGTGAGCGAACGTTTAATTTTACTAACAGCTGACAACATCTTTAGCACTGTACAACTACAAACACCGGAAATAGTGTCTATTTACAACATTAACAACATATTCAGGCGACATAATATCGTATTATTCGGCTTTCTCGGCAGTAAAATATTATAATAATTCTATAATGTGGCGTAGGAATATTGTAGCTGAATAACAGGAGTAACCAGAAACACCGCCGCGAAGTTGTATTTATGAATAGCGTGCCGACTTCACAGATGATTTTCGTTGAGTTTAACACAAGGGCTGAAGAGTCGCGCTTTGGTCCGGCTCCCATTCTCTTGCGTTGGAGAGTGGAGGAATAAACGTACGAAAAACCGAAGAAAAACCAGACCATCTAAACAGATAAAAAATCATGCAAGTGATAAAAATTGCTACTACTTTTTCATTAATTTCGACAGTGTTCCGATAAAAGTAAATTTGATTGTGCAAATCGAGTACAACTTCGTTACAAATTGAAATAATCGAAACATACAAAGATTGCATTTATTCAACATATATATGTTATCTTTTTATTAAAAAGTTTCCATTTTGCTAGAGAAAAGAATAGCGTTAGCCTTGTTTTAGGATACGATGAACAAATGATTATATTTTATCGAAGTCAATCAGCAACATAGACTCATCATTATGAACAGTTTTCCAATGTATGTCAATCATTAATGGTTCATCTTCAGCGACAAGAAGCAGGAAATGGTCGATAACTTGGCCTTTCTCCTACCATTAATCATATCTGGTATGCTTCAAATTTCCCGTTAATGCAATCTATATGACTGTTCTGAACCGTGCCCTTCAACAACATGGGGTGGCATTAGCTAAATAGTAATAGAACATTTTTTTACTGAGCAACAACAGAAAATGAATCGTCCTTTCTGAGAGAAATAGGAAATGAAAATATTACTCTCAAAAAGATTTGTTTTAGTATTATTTGAGGATCGTTTGGTGCGTGGTTCCCTGTAGTCATGTACCTTCCACCATACATGTTACGAATGAAATATTCATAGTTAGTAGAATAACTAAGCATTGTGTGCACCAGTCGTGTGACATTCATGTCTGTGTGACGGAACACAAGTTTTGTGAACTATTTTTTTTAACAACAATGTTTTGTTTCTGGCTAAACCCTAAGAATTTGACTATTATCTGTTAAATTATGACTAAACAATGCGTAGAAAATGTTTTTTCTCAACGGAAAGAAGGAACCTCCTTTTAATGTTACATTATTAATCGATAGCGTTAAGCTACAATCGTCTGCTAAGCGTCTATCGTCTGCTAGCCCCGGTCGCATGCAGATCATCATTTATCTCTACGATATATTATATATAAATTATGATTACATTGCTCAGAGTCTTGATCTATGATTTATTGACTTAAATGTGCAATTATTCGTCAAAGGATATCGTTTTTATTGAGATAATCATAATGATTCACTGTTTTGTACGTAAGTAGCGCTGCCTACTTAGGATACCATAGGCGAGAACAGCTACGTCGCCATCTTTACGTGATCGAGCTGGACATCTTCGAGTTATATGTTCTATAAAATGGCGATTATAGCTTGTAATCATGTGGCTAAAACGTTTAAATTTTTATTTTTGTGATTCTATGACGCAATAATACTTCTTGCTGCTATTTTGATAATGATTTTCGTCAATGT